AAAGGGAGCCTATAAACAGGAGGGGAATCAACTCTTTGAAAGGGTTGATAACTGCAGGACGAGGGGAAATGTTTTAAGTTGAGGGAAGGGAGATTTAAGTTGGATGTCAGGGGGAAATTCTTTACTATGACAGTGGTGAGGTGCTGGAACAGGCTGCCCAGAGAGGCTGTGGATGCTCCGTCCCTGGAGGTGTTCAAGGCCAGATTGGATGGGGCCCTGGGCAGCCTGGTCTAGCATTAGGTGGGAAGGTTGGTGGCCCTGCATGTGGCAGGGGGGTTGGAGATTCATGATCTTGAGGTCCCTTCCAACCCTGGCAATTCTGTGATTCTGTGCGTGCAAAACCAAAAAAAATGAATTCTTGTGAACCTGGCAAGGCAGCGTGACAAGAAAACTTACACGTGATTTTCCTTCTGAGTTTTGAAAGTCTGGTCCCTGTGGAATGGGGTGGTAACAGCCATCTTATGGCCACACACCGGCGTGGAGGTTAGTGCAGGGTTGTCCAGGTTCAGATTTTCGTGATTGGACGATGTGTTTAAGAACTGTAGACAGGAAAAGAAAAAATCAGCAGGACCACCTAGATTGCAATGCCGACTTCTTCACTTGACTTTACTGAACAGAAGAAAAATAAATTACTTCCTTCTCATTGCCATTAGTGACTCTCTTGTCCCTACCACACAGGTAGGTGTGTGTGGAGTACCTGACTATGTGCAAAAACAATATTCTGCAGACTGTCTGGTTGGAGCATTCAGAAAGTAAGGACTAATGTTTCTATTGGGAAATCATAAACAAGACAACACTCCATTCCAAACAGAAACCACCTCTACCACTTAAACATCTGATGTGGATTTTCTGCAAATAGATTGTAATTAATATCAAGAGCTTGAAGTAAGAAACAAGAGAAAATGAGTAGGGGATGTTTCATGAAGAAACCCATTGGAAGTGGGGTTTCTACAATTCCACAAATTTTTATTAGGGGAATCTAGATACTTCTGAAGCAGTAAATAAGGCAGATATGACAGGAAGATAAATTTCTTATCATCTCTCTCAAAACAAAGTGCTCCATTTTCACAACATAAAATGAAATTTGCTGCCTACAACGGGTGTATGGAGTGTTTTCAGCTGACTGAAAAGGAGGCGGAGATAACAGTTTGAAGAAAATTGCTTTTCCATGAGTTCCTCTTGGCAACCAAAAATATGGCTTCCATTTCTAGTATCTATAAATCTGTGAGTGTTGTGGTATCCTTCATTTGGACACTGATTCACCAGGTTACCTGCTGGACTTCACTTGTACCAGATTAGAAAAATACAGTATGTACAAAAACATGGATTTTACTGGACAAGTGATATATGATTAAAATACCTCACACATAACTGGAGATATGGTGGGAGATCATTATCTGCCATCTATAGATATTCTTCATGAAAAAGTATTTCTCTGACTTTAACGCCAAATCAAGGAAAAAACAACAGAAACAGACAAACCAAAACCAAAACACTTTTAAATAGTGCTGCAGCTGTGAAACAAAGCAACAATGCACAGGAATTTCAAAGTGCACACTGGGCAATCATAAGAGGCAGATTTTCTCCTCATTCCTATTCCACTCCGCTCCACAATTAGAATTTTCTGGTTGTTGCCAGTTTGTCTCACAACCCGAATGCTATTTAAATGCAGTTTGGGGTTTTCTAGGTCAGTGAATCATACTGTAAGTGGACAGTGATGGAAAGTATTACAAATGATCAGAAATGTTTAACTCTAGTAGCTGAAGGAGTTAACAGCATGAGCAAAACAAGCAATCACAATCCCCTACAAAAACAAACCAAATCAAAAAAGAAAAACCCAAGCTCCGCAGATGAATTTGAAAGAAGAAAATCAACAGTTAGCTTGCAGATGATCTACACTCAGTGGTGAGGACTAGGAGTAGTGAGAAGATTCAAACATGGAGTGAAATCAACAAGTGCAACGGTAATTAGTCATTTGTTCCAAAGGATTAGTTTCTAAATTGTTAACACTGCAGCAACTTTTGAGAATTAGTAACAGCTGTGCAGAAGTCTTGATCTACCTGAGAGGGAGAGAAGGGCAGGCTTTTGACAGGGGAGTGCTTAGAAGTTGAGCTGCTGCTGTCAGCCAGTCCCAAGGTGCTACTGGGGCCACTGGCTAAGGGGCTGGCATGCCCTCTCCTTTTGCGAAGGACCCACGGAGCTGCACTGCCCTGCGAGGCAGACAAGGACTTTGGTGAGCCAGGAGAGCCCTGACTTGTCATGGTTTTGCTCAGGTTTGCGATGGGGCATCCTGGAGATCTACAAGCACTGGCCCCTCCATGCTGCAGCTGCACGGCTCTGCCTGAAGTAGCTTTGCCAGCCAGAATGTCTGTGTCGTCAAAGAATTCAAAACTGCTGAGATCACCCCATGATGAAGGATCCTGAAACAATGTGGGAGGCATGGAGCCATAAGACAGTGTATAGTGCCACCTCATGAAAATCACTAGGATACAAAGCCTTTCCCAATTCAATTCTGCTTGACCGTGTTTATTTGAGTACTGATACTCAGATCTCTTATTTGTGTTTTCGGTCTATATGTCAAGCATATCAAGCTAGCAGCCTATCAGTGTTGGTGGCAAGTGAGGTCCTAAAGAAACAGTCAGTCAAATGATGTCCTTGCTATTGGCTAGTCTATCATTTTCTGTGCAGAACAAAGACAAAAAATCGTTAGGAAAAAAATCCATGTGCCTTGGACTCCTAACCAAGATTGGTCTCCTCTGAGCCAGCACAACTGCTCTGGATGTGCAGAAGGGGATGTGGCACTGCGTGAAGCCGACCCCTCTGCTGCTGAAGCAGAGTGCCACCAGCAAACTTATTTCGCTGTATCACTCCTGTTACACTGAGTACCCTGGAGATCATGATGGAAAAAGGCCATGTCAGTGTCACTCAGCTACCTTGGAGTTAAAAACAGTGTTTCCAGTTCTTCACATACGCTAGGGCAAACCCCTTTTGCTGTAGGAAGCAGCAATTGATGCTACAACAGGAAATTTTAGAAAATGATGCAGATACATGATCACTCACATGTAAACCTATAGCATGTGTCACTTCCAATCTAAAAAACTACTGTTTCACTGTTTAAAATCTTCCATAATGTCTCTACTTTTAGTTTAGGGAGATGCAACACAGTAAGAGGTTGTTTCAGACTCGTAATGTGTCGTTTGCTAAGCACACTCCCATACCAAGGTGTAGCAGGAATTGGAGACACGCACAGAAAGCAAACGCTTCCACACTCAGGGGCTTCACTTACAAGCAGCCGGATGTTGTTATTTCAGAAGCTAAGCTTCGGATCTTGTAGCAATTAGAAGTTACTCAGAAAAAAAGAAAAAAAAAAAAAACAACAATACTTTTAGGATGGTCCCAGTTCCTCTCCCCTTACTCCTTGACCACACACAAATGCACCTGAGGCGACAGTTTTACTTACGGAGTCTATTAACTGGAGTGTTTCTGCAAATTCTAAGAGATTCTTAACATTATCCAGGATGTTGCTCTGGTGAACAATCATGCACCGTGCAGGGGACGCACTTTCCTCAGGTAAGCAACCATGATCCACTGGCGGAGATGGAGTACAGTGGTGATGTTCCCCCAAACAGGAAACAGGTGCATTGTCACCACTGGTCCTGGTATTGTCAGCAACTGTGGTGCTGTGCCAGCCGGGGTAGTTTGCTGTGTGGTTCTGTGTCTAAAGGAAGAAGCAAAAAAAAGGAAAGGGGGACGGGGGGGGAAAGGCAGAAGGAACTTAGCAATGAAATTGCATAAGGCATCAGATGCCACTGGAGGAAAGATAAAAGTAGTTGCATCATCATCTAAAAACTTATGCCTATGAAACAATTGTCAAGATGTTTCCTTTCATTAGTGCAAGACTTTTTGTTTTAAGTAATTTCAGCATTGTGTTTGTTATCCCAAAGTTACCTCATAATTCACTTCCAGGATTATGAATGTGTATCATGACTAGTAGCTTATCAATTTGCATTGCATTACTCCAAAAGTTCAACAAGTGACTGCAAGTCATTTTCTGTGAGAAGCATGAAACGGCAGGGTTTCCCTAGTGAGCACTCAGCACTGTAGAAGGCTAAAGAGTTTAGAGTTAGAGTTGCTTTTGTTTGCTTATCTCCTTCTCTTCTGCTATCCCTGTCTAACGCTACAGCTTACACCAATGCAATGAAGAGGCTGTCAAATCAACGTGGTTAGGAAAGCAGAAGAACATATTAACAGAAGTTTCTTTCCAGTGTGATCATGCAACAGAAGAAATTGCAAAACATTAACTAAAGTTAAAAAGTGGCCAAACTAACGTATCGTGCATGCAGTTGTTTTTACTATTAATTTAAATATTACCCAAAAAACAAAACAAAACAAAGAATCTGCTGGCTATCACCTATCTTCCAAAATGATTTGTGGACTCTTGGCTTTGGTGATGGTGTTAAGTAACTAAGTGAGGGTTTTCACATATTAACATTCAATGGCACATACAACAAAGTGTAAGAATTCAGTAATAGCCAGCATTTGTTCCACACATGCAGTTATGAAGGATCTACCATTATTTGGAGAAGTAAAACAAACTGTCAAACATGCACCAAGTCTGAAGCTTACAAAGTGTATAAAACACAGCTGAAGAAAAGAATACAACAGAGAAGAAAAATCTAACGTATAGGCACTACATTTTCATCACATGAACCATTGCACACTTTCAAAAACGCAGATCCCATTGGTTTAAGATCTGTGGGATTTTTCATTTGAGTACAATCATCTCGTTTCCAACATTATGTAATGTTACAGAGCCCAGCCCTGCTCCCACTTTGCAAAGTAAAATACCTGCAAATTGAATTTTTTTATCACAGAATTTACAAAGCAGATACAGAGTATGCATGTGCTATGTTTCATCCTTTTAAAACAGAAATATAGAGCCTTGATTAGTATCAAAGGCAAAGGGGGAGTAAAAAGTTAAAAAGACAAGCACTGGGGTAATGCTGCTATCCCTCCATCCAAGCACACAGTGACAATCTTACTGGTAATGCCTGCTGCCCTTTCAGTTCATTCTCAGTCGACATTAGTAGCAACTCTAATTCCTTTATTCGTTTTTCTTTCTCAGGGTCTTCATCATTATAGTGTCTCTGAAATTAAGAGTTAAGGGAAAAGAAAAGATAAAGGATAGGATGTAGCAACTAAAATGCTTGTGGCTTGCCGTTCTGTGGTTATAATAGCCAAATTAGACTCAAAAGATGAAACAAATGTCAATCGTGTTTTCCACTATCAAAGTCCCTGCTGAATTTCAGTTCAGACATTTGAAATGGAGAAAGCAAAATCTACCACGCCAGAAGACAACTACAGTGTGTTAAATTCACTTCAGAAAAAGCAATTATTAGCCAGGTCAGAACTCCCCCACCTTCCCCATTTTCTTTCTTCACACATATTACATTAAAATGTTTCCTTAAGGTAAGACGTCTGCATTTTGACTTAGCAAAGGTTTAACAAATTGTCTCTCGAAATGATGTTCAAATTATCTACCTGAATAGCTGCAGCAGCTGGCTGAGGAACATTGACAATATTTACATGCAGTGCTACTGGATATGGGATCTGACCAGGGACCTAGGCCAAAAAGCAAAAGAGACTAAAAGTTATTACTACTAGCATAGCACCTGCCTACATTGTGAATCTGCTTTAAAAACACATTTGCTTTTACATGCTTAATATTATCAAGAGAAATCCCCAAACATTTACAAGCAAAATGAACAGCTTTTAGAACATGACAGTGAGTATTACATAGGGAGAAAGAACATTTATATACTTAGCATGTACCCCACCTGATGAGAAAAATGAATAATTTGGAGATGCATTTGTGAGATGTTTCTATCTCAAAAAAAAAAAAACAAACAAAAGATGCAATTTTTTTTATCATCTAAAACTACATTGTAAGCATTTAAAGCAGTGGCCGGTTTAATTATTAATTTCATTATTAATTGTTAATAGGCATGGAATCAGATTAAAACACTACCGTTTACTTGGTTCTGACAGGGAATCCGTACACAGAGTATGGCCAAAATGAACCCAGAAGATTTTGAGACAGAACAGAGTTAATCAGATTCAACTCATTTTCAACATATCTGCATTCACCACTATAAGAAATAGCACTCAAAACATTTCCAATGGTTACAAGATGCTAACAGTGCTGAACCTGACTCCACCCATATGTCAGCAGTCGATTTGAAGCAGACATATACTCATCACTGCTTAAGTCCAAACCGTCCTCACCTGACCCCAAACACAAATCAGCTCTCCACGAATGGGAGAAAAAAACTTGGTTTTTCTGGAAATCAGCTGAATTGCACCCATCCATCCCACAGAAGGAAACAAAACTGAAAAGCGCATTCAGGAGCTTACGTTTTGTGGCTCAGCAATGTGGTAGTAGGGGTAGTCACTGCCCAGCGGGGCCTGGCCGGCCCCGGGGAGTGGGCCTGCAGGTGGGTTGTGGGCAAAGGCCATCAGGTGATTGCTCTTCTGGAAGCCGGTGGCTGCTGAGGGCAGGCCGGCTTTGGAGGACTCCTGCAGGTAGCCCTCCTGCTCGACCTTCCGGCGCATGGTGGAATTCCAGTGGTTCTTGATAGCATTATCAGTCCTGAAACAGAAATGTGTACGCATGAGGGGTGTTCTAAGCGAGGCTAACAGGCAGGAGGATGCTGTTAGCATTTGTTTGAATCCTGAGCAGTGCTCTGACTTCCCCCCGGCCCTGGTCTTTACAAACGCTACTCTGGACCTCTCAGGAAAGATGCTCACTGTAAAAGGGAGGGAAAAAGACAACTGAGCTACTGTTGTTTATATGCTGTCTGAAGCATATAAAGCATATAAGCCTGAAGTACTCAAACTGTAAGCAGTGAACACCATCAGTTTCACCCCGTTGCCATGAGGTGAGGTGACACTGAGCCCAACACTCCTCTGAGCTTCCCCTGAAGACTACCAGCACCACCTTTGCAAGTCTTACTGTTTTATTGTGACTCACTACTGGAAAGAAAGGCTATGGAGCACAGCTGTCAAAAGACCAGCTTCCAAGCAACTTTCCAGCTGACAACCTAGGCAATGAGAGCACTATACTCTGCACACAAACCCGGTAAACAACACTGTTGTGATAGCTCTTTGCCTCAGAAAAACTGAGGTTCAAACTCTCAGAATCATGGGTCAGAAAAAGTAAACTTAGCAAGTCTGTGAGATTGTATACAGTCAGCAACAGTTCCTCTGCTTGAAAAAAGTCACCACCACATAATATTGTTGAAATTAATATCAGTGATGTACAGAGAAACTTTCCAAGTGGTATGTGCTTTCTTGCCTTCTTCTGGAAGTTGGAAGCAGCTTATGGAATGCTCCCTTGAAATGATATCATAATCTCAGGCATTGAAGATGCTTCAGCGAGAAACAGGAATAAAAATGGGAACAGAAAACCCTCCTTTGCTTACAGTAGTTGCTCAACACACTTTATGTTGAGTCACTTCGACTGTACAGTGAGTAAGACTCTGAATGCCTAAAAGTATATGTAACTTGTGCATGTGCTTTCAATGAGATAAGTATTTCCAGGACTGCAGCCCAAGGAAGTCAGCTTCTCCAATTTTATATGAGGATTTATATGTGGATAATAGGTAAAAAATTTCTGGGTGATTCATGAGCAATGACAAATGCTGAAGCAGCCTTCTCCTAAATCATTCTGAGCCCACATACTGGATTTCACTTTGCAGGTACACTCTTGGCTGAATGCAAACTAAGTTCCACTTGCAAGTTTGACTCTTCACTGTTAAATTAATTTCAATTTTGTCAATTATTGAACATACATTCAGGAAACTTGTACAGTCTTGCTCTACTTACTGCTTTTTTGTCTATGGCAAACATTAAAAGCATGTAAAAATGTCATGCTGTTCCATGTACTGACCAAACAGCACAGTTTCCCACTGAGACAAAAGCACACTGATGTCATTGGCTTGCCAGGTTTTGATTCCAAAATTTTCTATTTATAATGCAAAGGCTGAAAAAGCCTGCTTGGACCTACAGCTTTTCCCTTTTTTCCTATTTAAGAGCTGAAGGCATATGTCATTACCGTCCAGGCAGCAACTTTGCAATTTCTGCCCATCTGTTTCCCAGTCTCTTGTGTGCCTGGTAAATAATTCTATCTTCCTCTTCTGTCCAGGAGGTTTTCTTCACTTCTGGATTCAGATGGTTGTGCCACCTCTCCCTGCACTGTTTTCCAATTCTTCCCTTCAAGTGCTTAGCAATGACCGACCAGCGCTTTGGACCGTATTTCTGCACGAGTTCTATTACCTTCAAAGAAGGACATAAAAACTGCCTGTATTTAATGATGCATAATGAATCAATGAAAGTTTTACTGCAGTGGAGAAGTATTCTCAATGACATTTTTCAAAATCGCTATTGAAAAACTAACACAAAATTAAGGTTCCCTGTTTCCCATTTACACTTTTACCCAAAAGAAAAAAATCTCATAACTGTTACAGCACTTCTAGATTGCATTTCTACATTACAGCGCTATAAAGCAAAATTAAATAGTTTGCATAGAAAACTTAGAAATACTTAAGCATTGATAAGGCGGTATCAGTCCTGCCTCAGGCCACGTTACAGTTAAAACCACTCAGCTCTCTGGAAATTTTGCCCCAGTACATGAAATCTGTTATTAAGGTATTAATTAAATGGAAGGGAAAACTGATTACCCTTTGATCCTCCTCTTTAGTCCATGGACCTTTGATAAGTTCTGGGTTTAATACTTTCTGCCACCGGTGCTGGCACTGAACATCTGTCCGATTCTAATGAAATATAAAACACACAAGTAGATTATTCTTTGAAAAAGATGAATGTGGAGTGATAACTCTTATCTATGTGCCTCCAGCAAATTTCACTGCCAACTACGATTACTAAGAGAAAAGGGAATCATACAATAGGTCAGAAAAGAAGGTGCCCAGCTATCATTTGGTCAGTGGAACTATTTCTATAGTTTCTGCAGTTATGACTCTATGGTGCAAACCTACACAACCTCAATCTTCATCCTCTGGCACAATAGCTGTTGTGCTTCTGCTACAGCTGCAGTGTTCACAGAACAATTCTCTTTTAAACCACTTACCCAGACTTCACCAAAGCTACTTTTTTTCTCTGCGCTAAGACATTTTGTTTCAGCTTTACACTGACCTTTGATCATGCAACACTCCCTGCCCCCCATTTTAGTCTGTTTGATGTTCCCTAACCCTCTCTGAGAAGCGAAAGGAAAATTAAGGCAAGGGCTTCACAGAGTTCTAACCAAACTTCTGAGGTCTCCAGATGTGGAGGTTTTATCTCCCGCAAAAAAGTAAGTACAAAAACCACTCCCCTTTCCCTTACTTGGAAACCTCTGATAAAGTGTTGTCACTAGAATTGGAAACAGAAACTAATGTCCACCTACAGGAAGGAAATTGGCAATGACTTTCCAGTCTTCTGTGCCATTCTGCTCCACAAGTTTCTTCAGTTTCTCATCCTGAATCATTAAAAATAAATAAATAAATAAAATAATTAATATCACAATCTCTTATGCTGTAAATGAAAGGCACTCAAAATTAAGTTGCCCACTTCTAACTCTGTATGTATCTATTACTTTTGTTGGCTTGTGTCTTGAGAGTAAGAGGAGGTGGTCTGTGGTCTTCTTGTATTTTTAATTGCCCAGATCCGGAGGTTTTTCTTCTCCCATGGATTTTGGTAGGCTCTTTACAATGCTGTAGGAGAAAAGCTGATTTTTTCCATGCTCTCTGACTCCCATTTTACTGCTCCCAGCAGTATAACTGTTACTCTGTTACTGGATTTACAGGAGCGCTTGGACATTTTTGATGCCAGGCATCACAGCAAACAATGACACTGAGGCACCCAGCTGTCTGGGGACCTCTGGAAATCACAGCCTTAAGCTTTGAATGTCTTGCAAGTAATGGGACTTCCAGTAATTTGCTCATTGCCGGTCCGCGTACAATGAAAGCACAATAAAATGAATGTTCCTAATGGCTGTGAGGGAGTTTTGCATGCTTGCAACAGCAAGAAACTCAGCCCAGTATTTTTAATGATAAGGCCAGAAATATAGACCCTCGAGACAAAAGAAAGCAGTGTCATGTATTGGGAAAGATCAAGATAGGGGAACTCACAAGAACTGCCCCAGGAGATAGGAGGGGGGCAGTGAGTCTCATTGGTATTTCCCAGGGCTCTCCTGGTCCATGTGACATGGAAGAGGCCACTGGGCCACGCAGCCATTACCACCACAGCCACTGTCATAACAGCAGGCTGGGGCTTAAAAAATAAGAAGTGCTTGCAAAAGGTGACCTGCCTCTGTTTATATATCAATACACGTTGTCAGAGAGGAGAAAGTCAAAACATAACTCAATAACTGTATTAATGCATTTCACAATGAGCACAAACCAGCTCAGTGGCCATGGGACATCCACCTGGCAAAGGAGTTTGATATCAGAATTTATCTGGAAAGTCAGCACAAGGGTACCATGACTAAGGCATATTCCGATCTTCAGAGGCAAGACACATCTCAGATGCTCAATTTTGGTACCACTGGGTTTCTTTCTTCCAGCTTTTAATTTAATTTCCACTCGGGATCACAATGCTGCAATTAAAGTGCAAATTTCAAATGGCACAAAAAGACTGCAGCAGTTTCTGCCACAGTTGTTTGCTGCTGTGGGACACAGAGCACACGTCAGCTCGCACATAGCAACCACTCTCAAACACAAAGAGGCAGCGGGAAGTGCCTGACACTGCCACAGGTGACTCTCAGTCTGCTTCTCCAACAGGGATTACAGAAGCTCAAATACCTGGAAGGCAGACCGTGGTGGACATTAAAAAAAATAGTGTTGATAGATTTGATTTAAAAGAAACCAACGATCCTCAAAGCGAAGTAAAACACTGCATGTAACTAATGAGTCAAAACCATCTTTATTCTCAGAGCTGTCACTGCTACACTCTCCCTCTGACTTCCCCCATGCAGGAGACAACCAAACTGGCAATTACCTCCTCGCGGGTCCACCTGGTTTTCCCTAGGTGACGTTTCCCAGCCTTAGGAAGCAGGCCGTCGTAATCGTGGTCGTACATCTCAACATCTTCTTCATCATCATCACTGCTGTATATGCTGCAGCAGGAAACACAGCGAGACACAGAGCGGAACGTGAGGACTGGAGCTACTTAATTACACAGCACACAGAAAACACACAATCTTTACAAAGGTTACACAGATAAAAGTTTTAAAACTTGCACAACAAGATTTTGTTCTGCATTCTGTTGTTCTTGTATTCCGAACTGGTTCTGCTGTTTTTGGTATCCACAGATACAAGCAAAGGGCTGGCAGCCTCCTCGCTGCCATGCATGTTTGGACCTGCTCACACTGTTAGATCGGTGGTGAATTACACATTTGGCAAACTTTCAACCAATGGGGGTTTCGAATTAGAACACAATGTTTGGGACAATAAAGAGAACTGGAGGCTGTGTCCATTACACAAGTGCACGCTCACGATCTTTAACTCATGCCACACGTTCTGAACAATGTTAGTGGTTTGCTATGGCCAATAGGACAGGTAGCTGCATGGCTCCCAAACGAGATACATGAATACAAAAGGCTCACCCATAATGATCTTGTTTGAGCCCATGTCTATGAGTCCTGTGTGTGAAGGCAGAAGTTTCTGTGATGAAGTGAAGCCAGTGAGTGGTAGCGTAAATGTGGACAAGCATACAGAGTATCCTGCAACCAACCAATGAAGGATCGAGCCACTCTGCACTGCCCATTTTGCTAACTCAAGGCTTTATTACCTCTACTCCATTTCTAAATACCTCATATTGTTTTTGACACACTGCCGCTCACCTCCTTCATGACTAAGGGATTTCCCCAGAGGCTATCAAGGGTGAAAAGGGCTCTCACCGCTCTCACAAACAGCACTTTTCGCCCAGTGAACCAGGACGGCTTTGCAACCAGGACTGCCTTTCTGCTGGAAAACATTTTATTTCCAACTGTTGTGATACGAACAGCACTTTTGACACTGGCAGAAATGAAACCCACAGAAACAGCCTTATGTTATGAGACGAACAACTGTGATCTATCTGATGGCACGGAGCTATGGGATGTTACAGGATGACTAAGGCAACCAAATAAAGTCATTTTGTAATAATCCACTACAACCTAACTCCCAAGTATTGTTTATCCTGTTTTCCTGTATTCGAGAAACCACGTTTTAAATTAAGCTGCAGCAAAGACGCAGACACCTCGATCGCGGGCTGTAGAGCACACACCCTTTAAAGCACGCGGGGTTAATCGCGCCTTCACAGTCTGCAGCCCTGCTTTCTGCCCCGCTCCACGCAGGACGCTCCTCATCGCCTGCTCCCATGTGCGTATCCAGCTGCCGCGGCGGCCACTCGGCGCCCGGGTCACGCATCGACAGCGCCGTCGGCCGCCGGGGCGGGCAGCGTTCGGGCTCTCATCCGCCACCAGCGCTGCCCTTCCCCTGCCGAAACGCCGCGCACGGACGGCCGTGAGCCTGCCCGCGCGCAAAGGGAGCTCTGCGGCTCCCAGGAGTTTGGCAGAGGGAAGAAGCGCATCCCGCCCGCGCCGCACTGCTCCCGGAGCACGCTCGGCAGCGCGGGCGGCTCGGCCGGACCTGGCTGACGGAGAGCCCAGCGCGCTCCCCGCGTGCTCCAGCGGCAGGAGAGCGCCCCTCGCCCTCGGGATACTCGGAGCCCCCACAACTTTCCCCGGCGCAGGGGCTGAAGGCTGGAGCCGGAGCAGCGCCGGGCTCTCTCTTAGAGCAACCGGCTACTAGGGGGGAAAAAAGAGAGAAGGGAAAAAAAAAAAAGGAGGGGGTGGAGAGGAAATGACTCGCTGCTGCCGCTACCGCGATTGAAGGAATTCGGGCAGCAGCAGCCCCGCGAGCACAGCCCTCTCCCGCTCCGCTCCGCGCCGCGCCCCGCGGGGTTGGCGGCAGCCCGCGCTCCGCTCCCGCCGGCACGGCCGCTCCCGACGGCGGCCGAGTCCCTGCGGGAGGCGCCCGCGAGGCGCCCGGCCCGGCAGCGGCAGGCGGGGTGATTCATAGCGGCACCCCGCGCTCCGCCCGCCGCCCCGCGCCCGCTGCCACGCCGAAAGCCCCTTCTCCTCGGGAGCGGCCGCGCAGCCCCGAGCGCCGCCGGACGGGGCCGGCAGACGGGCGGGGAGCGGCAGGAGCGCGCCTCGCTCCGCTGTCACAGCGCAGCGGGAGGGGAGGGGAGAAGGGAGGATGCAAAGAGAAAGAGAAAAAAGCCTCCACGTGTCCGACCCGCCGTCCGCTGCTAATTAGACAACAACCCCGCGCCAAACGCCCGCCCGGCAGCGCAGCGGCGAACGTGACCACGCGGTTCTTACTGCCGCCCGCCCGTTCTGTCCTGTCCCGTCCCGTCCGGCCCCGGCTCGGGCAGGGTGACAGCTCCGCGGAGCGCACCCCGCAACCGCCCTCCGCCGTGTGTGCGGGCAGAGCCCAACCTCGCGGCGCGCAGCCGCACCGGTGGGGCAGAGCTGCGCTCCTGCGGGGAAGAGGCAGCGGCTGCGAAATAAAATGGGGAAACAAACAAACAAACAAGCAAAAAAAGAAAAGAAAAAGAAAGAGAAAAAGAAAAGGAAAAAAAAAAAAAGAAAAAGAAAAAGGAAAGAATAAGAAAAAGAGAGCGCCCAGCCCCGCGCCCGCCGCCCACCTGCCGTCACGGCCCGCCGGCGATGAATGAATGAATGGGACGGGACGCGCTGCCCGCCGCCCCGACAGCTCCCGGCAGGCAGCCCCGGCCGGGCGGGCAGCCAGCTCCCGTCCCTGCGGAGCGCGAGGCAGCGCGGGGCGCCCGGTGCGTCCCCTCGGGGCGAGGGACGCTGCGGGGCCGGGGTAGTTCAGGTCCGACGGGGGCGGCCGCGCCGCCGCCCCGCTACGGGAGAGCTCTTCCCCCGCAGCCCCGCGCCCCGTGTGACAGCGCGGACCCCCCGCCCCGTTACCTGTGCCGGGGTCTCCGGGCCATCCTCGCGGCGGCCGCTGGGGGAGGAGGACGGGGGAGCCCGCGCCCGCCGCCGCGCCCTGCTGCCGGGCTGCGCCCAGGCGCTCCGCCGCCGCGCAGCGAAGTGCCGAGGAGCCGCGGGAGGAGGAGGAGGAAACAGGTTGAGATTAAAGAGTAAACTCTGTAAACAGAGATGCCATCAAACAAAGGGCTTTTGGACACTCCCCCTCCCGCCAAATCTGGCGCCCCTGCAGTGCGCAGGCGCCGAGCGGCGGCCCCGTGCCGCGGCGGCGGGGCGCGGGGCGGGCGGAACGGGGCAGCGCGGGGCACGGCACCCGGCACCCCCCCTCGCCCCGCCGCAGTCCCCGGCGGGACGAAGGCTGGTCAGGAAGTGGCCGTCGGGAGCGGGGAGTCGGACCCCCCGGGCGAGGAGAACGGCCGCGTCTCGGAGACGTCCGCCGGGCGCTCCGCGCCTCCCGCCCCCTCGGTGTCCTTCCCCGGGTGCACCTGCTGCGGGCAGAGCGGCCCCGGCACGGAGCGCGCTTTGCGTGCGTGTTGGGGTGTGGGGCGGCGGCGCGGTGCCGCGGGGATTTTGGCGATAGTTCCCCGCGGGGATGTGCCCGGGAGCGGCGGTGGGTGTCCGATCGGCACCAGAGAACACGGTTTTTTTTGCTACAGAAATGAGTCAGGACGTGAAAAAAAATGGCGAAACGCGCCGAGTTCCCAGGCTCCGCGCCGCACTTTGTAAAAACGGGGCCGCGCAGCGCTCGCACCGCGCTCGCCCTTTCCTCAAAGGCTCCGAATCATCAATGAGCCCCGGCGGGGCGGGGCGGGACGGGGCGGAGCGGTGCCTCCCGCCGCGGGGCCGCGGGCGCTCCCGGGGGTGGCGGCGCCAACGCGCGGGGTCCCGGCGGGACGGGCCCGATGCCCCCCCGGGCGGAGCGGGACGGAGCCGGGCGAAAGCGCAGCGCCTCAGCCCCCGGGGCCGCCCCGTCGGGGCGCTCCCAGCCCTGCCGGGCCGCCGACTTATGGCTGGGGGGGGCTCGGCGGGCCGGGCCGCGCCCTGAGCTCCGCATGGACGTCGCTTCGTGGGGAGCGCGTTGCCCCCCAGCATCCTGCTCTGTTGTCCCGTTGTTGCTGCTTTGCACACCTCCGACGGGAGCTGCCTGCTCTGTCGGCTTCCGTTTGTCCAGCTCTAAACGGCTCTGCTGCATCTGAGCACCGGACGCGGTACACTGTAAGATGCCGCTTTCCTACAAGTAACGGGGATGATAACTGCAGCCCCGTTAAGGTCCAGTCCCGCATCCTCCGCTGTTAACGAGAGTCATCGGTGCTGCCCCGCTCCGTGCTGCACACAGAGGCCCGCAGTACAGCACGGTGCAGCTGTAAGGCTGGACCGAGACAGCCGGGTCTGCTGCTCGGAGCAGGCGCTATTGATTTTGTGACCGAAATTGCACGTTTGGGGGCAATGGGGCAATTGCCCGTAGCTTCCCACGTAGGTACAACCTGCGCGGTGCGAGGTTATCCCTCCCTGCTGCTGCAGGAAGCGTCTTTCTGTGCTGATTTTTGTAAACATTTGGACGTGAACTGAGACAAATCCAACATCTTCCCCATTTGGATGCAAATTCGCTGAGTAAATGCAAAGAATGTCCATTATTGCTCTCAAGAGAACAGTTAGGATGCCCAATTTTCTTCTGAAGGTTTTATGCGAGACCACATTTTTTCTTCACTGACTGAATAAAAGCTTTTTTTTTCCCCTTCCCACACACATTTAGTTTATAAACACATTTGGTTCATAAAAATACTTAAAATTGCAAATAAAACATATTTTATCATGGTCAAAATGAAGAGGGAAATTACACCATCACTCCAGGTTTGCAGATTGGTCTTCCCCAAGTCCGTACGTATGGAGCCCACTGAAATCAGACGGACACTTACATAGGCTCTCCTGGTGCTGCTTCATTTTTAAAGTTTAGCTAAAATTGAGCCATGACCCTCCTTTTTCATTTTCTTTTCTGAGCATGTGTAGCCTGAGGCAATTAGGATGTAAGGGTTCTTTCTGGTAGACACTTGCCAGAGCCCCAAAGAACAAGAATCCCCCTTCTGCATGTGCTGTGTGCAGGGTATGTGCAGCAGCAGAGCTCTTGTGTTACCCCTCCGACTTCATTAATTAGTGATGTCTCTCAGCCTATTTATAGTAATTGCATCAACCAACGGACCAATTGTAAGCAGTGCAACTGTGTGTTCTGGGGATCTTTTACTTACACAAATTATATAAGTAATTTAATAAAGGTAATTATATAAGCAGTAAATACGAATCGAGTTACCTGATTTCCTACACCTCTGCTGCAAATAAAAACCTCAATGTGGAGCTAAGAGCACGGTCAGAGCATTGTACAAATCCCTGAACATCAGCCCTAGGACGTGTTGTGTGCAGCCCCAGCACCTCCCCACAGCAATCTGATCCATGGGCCAGTGGGCTGAGCAGGGGACAGCCAGGCAGAGCAGGAGCTGTAAGGGAGGAGAGCAGTGAGCACTCACACTGGGGATCCCCAGGTGGATAGGTGGTGGCTGCAATTCATTTCAGGCTTTGGGAAATCCCAGGAGCCGCCTCTAGCTGTGTGTTATTCCTAATTTTTCTACGTTTGCCACGTAACCTGCAAGTACTGTGGGATCAGTGTCATGCAGTGCATTTGATCACACACGTGTTTTTCTAATGCAAGTGTTACAGATGCTCACCTTTCTTTCCCTCTGCTCCAAAGGCATCTTCAAGTGCCAGGAGCATTTTTATAAACACGTTGGTCTGTGCTTTATGTTTACTTTCAGCATTTCTCTCAGCTTGTGCAGTGAAAAGCAGTAAGCAACTTTCACTTTTTTAGTTTCACTTTTAGACTGGAGTTACTGTAATGTTTCAACTGCAGATGTGGCACTTTTATAATTGAAAATTATATTTTGGGGGGATGTTGGAAGAAAATTAAAAGAAGTGTATTTCCTTTTAATGTAAACTTCCTAACAGTTTCTCTTAAAAGAAATTATGAGAATTGATTAAAAAGGCTGGCGAGGAGGCAGGTGACTACCTCTGGTTTAGCATAGGTTGCATCAAGCACTGGGTCCCTCAGAGGTGTCTGTTCAGCCCACAGGTAAGGGTAAGGGATGTCACCTGGAGTGCTGTGTCCAGATACAGAGTTCTCAGTTGCAGGACAGACATGGACCTGTTGGAATGCGTCCAGAGGAGGGCCACAAAAATGACCCAAGGTATGGAAACATCTCCTATGAGGACGGGCTGAGATAGCTGAGGCTGTTCAGCATGGAGAGGGCTCCAGGGATATCTTATAGACCCCCCCAAAGGGGTCTATAAGAAAGAAGAGGACAGACTCCTTAGCAGGGTCCGTTGTGAAAGGGCAAGGGGAAATGGTTTCAAACTAAAGAGGGGAGATTGAGACTGGATATTAGGAAGAAGTTTCTTACAGAAAGGGTAGTGAGGCACTGGAACGTTGTCCAGAGAAGTGGTGGATGCCTCATCCCTGAAGACACTCAAGGTCAGGCTGGATGGGGCTCTGAGCAGCCTGGTCTATCTATAGTGTCCCTGTACATTGCAGGGGTGTTGGACCAGATGACACTTAAGAGTCCCTTCCAACTCAAATGATGTTCTAATTCTGTGATTCTATTTATGGCCAACCATGAGCATCAGTGTTTCATTCCAGTAAGGTGCACTGGGAGAATGCACAATCCCAGCACCCCATGGTGGGAAGGGCACTGTCCCCAAGGACAGGAGGTAGTGTCACCACCTCCATTTGAAGATGAGTGTCGTGGGTACCTGCTCAAGGCCAAAATGCTGGTGAAGTAAGGGGCCAGCAGGAGGCGCGGTCCCTCTGCACCATCAAATGGAAGCAATCCCCCAGTCTACATGGAGTGCAGGGACATGCTCCCAATCCCACTTTGCAGCATGTCTTCAGAGACAGGAGGAAGAACTCTTCTGACTACTGCTCCAGCAGTGGAGATGGCAGCACATGCCATTGGAGAGCCCACTGTACTTCTGCATGAGCCTTGGAGCGTACCTGAGCATCCACACTGCAAATCTGTGGTGTACTGGAACAGTGCGAGTGCCAGGCAACAGTGATTAAGGCACTACCCTATTTCTTCATTCATTTTAAAGGGAAATTCAGCCTTAGCCTAGGTCAGGTAGAAATGAGAATCCAGTGATATGGTTAGAACAAATCAACAGAAATTTGGAATGAAAAAAATCAGCTGCAGCATATGAGCTCTATTTCCTTTCTGGTATAATACCTACAGTTTCTGACAGCTAAGTCTTAGTTGAGTCTGTCACTCTAAAAGAGAAGGGGAAACCAAGAGGGCTGCTGCCAGGAGAGACCAGTCAGATCAAGTAATGTAGTATTAGAACGAAAGAAAGGGGCACAACTTGGTGAAACTGGGATCTGGAGTGAAGGAGCAAAGAGAAACCTTCCACGCTTCAGCAGAGGTTCTTTTTTTGTGGTAAACCCTCTTTGTTTGTGTACGGCTTGGAAGGAGAGAAATGCCCCAGGCCTTTCAACTGCAAAAATAGAGCTCTATTTGAACGGAACATATGTTGTACAGAAGCTGTTACTCAATTTGTTCTGAAACAGCATAGTATAGTGAGTGCACAACGAGGCTTAGGGCCCAGCTCCTTGGGCAGCAGCAGCACTGCACACAGAGCAGAGCAGGCTTGGTGCAGGGCAGCCCCTCTCTGAAACCCAGCCACAGAATGATTTCAGTAGTTCATCCTTTGTAAAATACAGTGCTAGCAATGGGAAGCACTTATGGCATGTAGAGCTCCATCTTCCTAACCTGTCGCAGGTCACTTATAATCGAAGCAAGAATGAACAGTGTGCTGGGATGCTGACATCATCCCTTACCTGGAGCACTGCATCCCTTCTACCCACTCTTGCCGCACAGCTGAAAATGTGCTTTCCTACCTTTACCTTCTTGCTAGCAACAAGTATTTCAAAGGCAATTGCGGTGTTTATTTATTTATTTACAACACAGCATGATAAAAGCATTAGACAAATTTCATTAATAATAGAGGGTAGGACCAATAAATGTAAACACAGGCAAATAAGTTTATTTTCTTAA